AAGCCTATCAACTATTTCTACATGCTTCAAGACAAATGTTGTAAAACTTCCCATTGAGAAGGCAGGTGAGAGCAGCAGTGTCAGCTGACTGTCGCTCTATTTCCAATCTACCCTTCCTCTTCAATTATTCTTGACAAATGTGTTAAACTCAGGATTACACAACATTTCACCATGGAACTGGACAAAGTGTTTCTCTGCAATCTCAATGACCTACTGACAAAGATCATTAAAAAATATTTCATGACGTTACATTCCACCTTATTTATAATAAAATATATAGATTAAGCTCAATCGTTATCTACACTACGTTACAAGTGCAGGGAGTAAATCAATGTGAAAACAATTGACATTTCTCTTACATCATTGTTTGTACAAACTTAAGAAATTGTGGTAACTTTCATCATTCCAATAATCCATGTTGTTCAAGAAGAAAGACCAACACATGAAATATATCGATAATTCTGTTGCAGAGTAAAGGGAGTGAGTGAGTGAATATGGTTTCATGCCGCTATTAGCAATATTCCAGCAATATCACGGAGGGGGTACACCATAAATGGGGTTCGCACATTGTACACATGTGGGGAATCGAACCCCGGGCTTTCAGAGTGATGAGCCACTAGGCTACCCCACCACCCCAAAGGAATAGTGACCAGTTTAGGGGTTTCTACTTAAATACTGCACAGGAAAGATTCACACTGCTACGTCACAACGTGAAAGAACCATCACGGCCACCTCTACAACTACGGCAATACCAATACCAGGATACGACAGTGTGGACCATTTACGCATTGAAGGTATTCGCAGTAGACGACCAATTTGAGGTGTCATTTTGACGGACATGCACCGTCGGCTGCGATTGAGCCAAGCTTGGTTTTGTGATGAGTCACATCTATATTACACGGCGCGGATGGTAGACATCGTGTTTTACAAGCGTCGCGGGGAATGCTATGTACGAAACTGCATAAAGGAAGGGGACAGATTTGGTGGTAATAGTGCACTGGGCATCATTTTTGTAACTCAAGTTTGGAAATGTCCTCTACGTGTCTACAATAAAACGTTTTCAAGGTTTCACTGAGGCACTCTTTCTCCATAGATCTAAATATAAAACTGATGTCGCGGTCTCATAGGTCTCGTTTGTTTCTAGTTCAGGTTGGTAAATCAGTGGCAGGGAATTGGCTATTTGATGGTTATTGAAGGATATCAGATCATTGATGCACTGAAGCTTACGTTGAACTTCTTGTCCAAATTACCTTGTTTTGACATTGACAGTCCGAGCGGAAATTCCGATTCTTATGCATAAGTTCAAACAGGTTTTTGCATGCAAGCTGGGGCGTGTGAAATTTGGCCCAGAGCAATGTCTTACACGTAAAAGTTGTTTTTGAAGTGGAAGACACATTCTACTTTTAATCCTCTCATTTCTGTTTGACAACAGAATGATATTTGTGTTTCTTTGGAGGTGAAATGGTGTATAACGACGTTCAAGATTAGTGCACTTATATAGCAACGTGCGTGTGTGCGTGCGTGCGTGCTTGTACTAATCCGTTTTTCCAGTAATTGTCTTGTTTCTATGTGAGGCGTGTACATGATTGAAAGAGTTGTCTTTCGCATGATAGCAAGTGAAGCACTCATAAAATATATATAAATATATGACATCCGGAAGTGTTAAAACGAAACTAAGATTACAGGTATCCAACAGTTGAAGAGGGTTCTCTCGCTCGCCGTGTTCAAACCATCTCTACCAGACCAGGTAAGGGGTTTGTTTGTTTCCTGTTCAATGCCGCACTCAGCAATATTCCAGCTATATAACAGCGTTCTGTAACTAATCGAGTCTGGACAAGACAATCCAGTTATTGACACAATGAATATCGATCCACGCAATTGGGATACAATAACATGCATCAACCAAGTCAGCGAGGTTGACCACCCGATCCCGTTAGTCGCCTGGTAAGGTGTACACTGTTTACACAGCAGCACTGATCGACCATTTGTATGGTGTACAGAGAGTGGTGCTATCGACCTTAGTGTATGTATCTGATATATCAAGGGGTTGACACTGTTATTCCTGTTATATTCTAGTATGGATATAACTGTCGGTAGTGCAGGCTATCACACCGTTTTAGCACATCTGTCGGCTGTCACGTCAATAATGAAGTCACTATTTGAGACTAAAATCATGTTGATAGCCGTAATTAACGATGTGTACAACTCCTCGGCGATAACATCGGGTCTGTATTAGTCTTTACAGAGTTGTGTCCCTTTGATTATCTTGGTCAAGTTGTGCAGCTGCCTTCCGTTCAGTGTTATTGATAGAAACTCCGATATAACTTTGATGTTACTGAGTCAAGCTCTCGAACTCCGATGTGTCGAATCCAGGGTGGTGTCGAATGTAGAGTCCGGTCGTGGCAAACTCGACCGGACTTATCTCATCTCATCTGGATATGTCGTATAGTTGTGTGGTCTCGAAATAATTTGTGGGCCCAAGAGTTAAATGTCAGTTCGACTTACCCTGATACTCTGACCAATGTTTACAAGCGCAACCTAAGTCGAGGTTGAATTTGCTTGTGAATGCATAAATGTGGATGTGAAAAACGATTATGTTTGTGTTCCTCAGTACAGACTTGATATGTACCTTCATGTAACATGCATGGTATGGTACGTGTCTGCTTTAGGTTGTGTGGCCCGGTCGGATGTGTCGAATCCTGGATAATACAAACTATTTATCTCCTCCCCGGAATTGGACATAAGAGGTTTGACTGTAGTTACAGGTTGGTAGATCATTCAAAATGCCACAACCGCCAGTCACAAAATATATGCAAACAAACTAGGGTTGTCTGTTTGCTTGTTGTTTAACGCCACACTCAGCATTATTCTAAATATGTTAAGGCGGTCTGTAAATGATCGAGTCTGGACCTGACAATCCAGTGTTTAATATGATGAGCATCGATTCACGCAATTTGGATACGATGACATGCAGCAACCAAGTCAGCGAACCTGACCACCCGATCCCATTAGTCGCCTGTTATGACAAGCATGGGATGCTGAAGACGTATTCTACCACCGATCTTCACGGGTAAGGAATGGCTGTAAGGTTTGTTGTCATGTGGTTCTCCCAGATGTGATTGTGAAGCATGACGTTTATTGGCTACCGGATACTTTCAGATTTCAGTCAATATCAAGGGGTCAGTTCACCTCATTTCTAACATTGTCCTTCGTATTTGTATGGACCGTTGTCGATGGTAATAAAAACATGACATCTAACCTCAAAAGTTCAATTTGCCTTTCGACCGAGTTCATGAAGTTGTGAGTGATATATATGCATTTTGTTTTGTTTTTGTTTGATTACTCGGCTATATTGCAGCTATAGTTAGTTGCCTCTCACGACGAGCTGGTGGCAATCTATATTTTTACACGGAAACCCCACTGGTCTAACAGTAAAGTTGTATCTTTAGTCTTTGGAGGGTCGAGTTATATGGGTTTTAACCATTTATTGAAAGCTGGGCATGTGGATTTGAGAGATTTGATAAAAATGTTATCTTGGCTGTACAATTCCTATATATGCCCCTTCCGATAGTGCCATCTACTTTGAATAACATCCTTTTATAACTGGCTTTACCTTCAAGAGAAATTAATTTCATACTGTTCAACCGAATGACATTTCATTGTGAGATACCTATTACAAGTCATTCCTCAATATGTGTAAACAGACATCTCTCTCAGGCTAATTCTACGAAAACAATGTGAGCTGTTTGTAAACAAACAACTTTTGCCCAGCAATGCCCCTATGTTATTTTAGGCGGTGGTGTAGCCTAGTGGTTAAAGCGTTCGTTATTCACGCCGAAGATCAGGTTCGATTACTCAGATGGGTACAATGTGTGAAGCTTATTTCTGGTGCCCCCTGATGTGATATTGCTGAAAAATTGTTAAAAGCAGCGAACACCAATCTCACTCACTCAAACGTTATTGAAAACAATGAATTGTTAAGTGAATTCCAATACTCAATAATAGAACCTTTACACTGATTTAATGATGGCTACTGTCTATATATTCATCTATATATTCTATAATATGTATGTATTTATGTCTTGTCTGTTCCAAGCTACGTGATGTCGGGTGAGAGCCGGGAATCTGGATTAGTCGACAACTGGCAGGCTGGGAAGACTGTCACAGAGTGTAATCTGCGCATGCTCAACACGGAAGACTTAAGTGACGTCACCTTCCGTGTAGGATCAGAGAAACAGGTGGTCCGAGCTCACCGCTACGTTCTTGTCAGTCGCAGCTGTGTCTTCCATGCCATGTTATGTGGCCCCCTGGCGGAGACAGGGGAGGTAACCATCACCGACATTGAGGCAGACATCTTCAAAGAGTTCTTAAGGTGAGATTAATCTAGCGGTTTTACAAATCATCCATTACCAAGAGAAAATTGCACCTTCCGTAATGTATGCTGATTTTATACCTTCTTCTAAATAACATGAGTAATTGCAATTTTGATACCCGAGCCACATTAAATATGTTGCTATTTTCCCTCCAGTGTTTCTATTTTTGGTCCTTTTTTTACAATACTTGTATGTAGTTAACAAACTTAAATAGTAATAAATACCACAAAGTAAGTTTAATTAGACTATTAGGTTAATGTTTTCGAAGGAGTCAGCTTAAGCAATTTTTTATAGTGATGGTAAATCATGTCATTTGAGGTCTACCCCACTGTACGTGGGTGCCACCTACAACACAATATAGCATGGAAAGGTATTGGTTTTTTTACTCGGTACAAGTACTCTATACATTCTCTTCATGTTACATCTCACAGCGTTGTAGTTGGTTTCACTTATTGTGTCCAACGTCTTTTAAGGGGAGATCAATCTAGCGGTAGATAAATTAATACACAAATTAAGATAACACCTTACGTATTCTTTATCTGCTTTTATATCAATGTTTCGCAAATGCTCAGAACACAAACTCATTTTTTAAATTTTTCCTGTCCTTTTTCTTACATGTTACTGTAGGTATGTGTACACAGACAAGGCCACTATCGACGCTGAAACAGTCACAGGACTAAAGTACACCTCCAAGAAATATTCTCTGGATGCATTGTATAATCTGTGTGAAACGTTCATTGAAGAGTCCATGTCAGAAGACAATGTCTGTCACATCCTGGAGGAGTGTCATGGTTACGGGGAGCTGGACGTGGAACAGAAGGCCCTGGAGATTCTTACTAAAGGAGGGAAGGAAGTCATCCAATCTCCCGGCTTTGTGAAACTTTGCTCTGATTGTATGAATAAGTTTGTTAGGTCAGATGTTTTATATTTGAAAGAAGAAGACGTATTTGACGCAGTGGTGTCTTGGACAAAGGAAAGATGCCGTGAGGAAGGTGTGAGTGACACACCCGAGAACATACGGAGACTCCTGGGAGATATGAGATATGAGATTCGGTTTACCAGCATCCCCCTGGAGAATCTGGTGAAGGTTGTCGGCCGATCTGGGGTGGTGACAAAGGATGAGAGAACGCGAATAATTGAGAGAACTGTTGACACAACTGTTGACATATCTCCATTTAAACATTCACAGAGAAATACTATTGGTTGGAAACTGAAAGCATCCTGTAAACGAGTATCTAGGCTGCGTAAACCTAGTTGTAGTTTTAGAAGTGGGAGAAATGCTATCTCCTTCTCACCTAGTCGGAGCATTCTCCTACTGGGGTGTCAGCTGTATGGTGGGTTGGGTGATCCAGAGTATACACTGTCAATAAGAGTGTATGGCGCCAATAACGAGGTGATTGATGAACCTGTCGTGAATACAAAGATGACGCTTCAAGCCAGTAGACAGGGGATTGACGTCCTGTTTCCCAGGTTTATTTCCCTCACAGCAGGTGCGACCTATACTCTGTGTGTGGACATGGAGGGACCTGCAAATTACTCAGGTGAGGGAGGAAAGGATACAGTAACAGTGAATGGGGTACAGTTCACATTTACAGACTCTCCAATGTCTACTACAGACACATCAACACAGATAGGACAGATACCTGGTTTGTTGTACAGTCTCCCGCCGCCATAGGCAGTACTGGTATATCAGGTGTGTTTCGCTGACTGCTATGGCGATGATATATGATAATTTGATATCAAGCAAACCATATCATCTTCCATATGATCATATTAACAGGTTGAATCCCATTAAATTCCATCTGACTGTCAGTGACATCTGGCTTGAACTCACTGGTGATGTAGACTACGTTATATCTATGTAGTACAGGGAGTAAATCAACACTGAACCAATTCCCACCTATACTACATTGTTGTTTGCACCTTTCAGAATACATGAGAGGTCAAGGAGGTGATTGCTGATATTTGCTTCGAAATAAATGTTAAGATTTGTAGATATAGCCCGTAGGTCCCAAACTGTGAGGTATCTTACCTACTGACGTCAACAGCAAAATGTATTGTGCGTGGTTGGATTGATGCCTGAAGCTGTAGTGCAAGTCTGTAGTGACTAATGAAGGGTGAAGGTCGTTTTGGTTACTCACCGTTTGTAGGGCACGTGAAAACATAAATGCACGTGTGCTTTGTTTTGTGTTTTGTTAATCATACTTCCCCTTGATATTGATCAGGACATTGCGGCTGAACTATGCTGTATCTAAGATGTGGTTTTGTATTAAGTGGACCCGTGAATATCCAGGGTAGAATAGGTCTTCAGCAACACATGCTTGTCGTAAGAGGCGAGTAACAGTTTCGGAAGGACATGTCATTGTATCCCAATTACGGAATGATGCTCATGATATCAATCACTGGATTATCTGGTCCAGACCCGAGTATTTACAGACCGCCGTCATATAGCTGTAATACCGCTAAGTGCGGCGTTAAACAAACAAAAATGTGTTCAGTGATAGATTACTTCTATTCTCTTCGACAACAAAAGTACGGACTGGTTCGTTGAAAGTCGTAGTGCTAAATCTATTGCAAGTGTGATCAGTTTAACAACTACAGTCAATCCGATAAGCAATATATATATTCCTTATGTTAGACATGAGTTGCAAAAGAGTTATTTATACCCAATGATCAATCACCCTTTTAATCAGCCCTCTGTTGCTATTCAAGACGAATGTGTACTTGTTTATTATAATCTCGTTAATGTTGCCTATTCAGTAAACTATGGTTATAGCGAACTCAAAGGGACCACAAATTCTAGTTCTTTATAACCGTAATTCGTTATAAGCATACATGTATATACAGCATATATACAGCAAATGGCAGGGACCTAAAAAACAGTTCGTTATATCCGCCAGTTCGTTATAAGCGTGTTCGTTATAACCGTAGTTTACTGTATAAGCATGTATGTGCTCTCTGTATCATTACCATGTCACTTTCTTCATATCGGTGTCAAAGTGTACTGCGAGACATTGCTACGATTGTAATACAGAAGTTGGTCATCACTTTTACAGAATTTATATGAGTTTGTTCTTATGTCTTTATTGTTTTGTTTCTCAGATATTAGCTCAGTTCAATAAAGCGCATATTGCGACCAAAATATGTTCATCTGATGCATTAATGTGTTGCCCAGCTACACGATCTGCTGCATCTTGTGCAAAGTCCGTCTCTTATCTAGCCATCGTTGCCCAGCTACGCGATCTGGTAACATATTTAAAGTACATGGATAGTAGGATTTGTTGCCTGGCTAGAAGGTCTGGTACATATAACGGTAAATGTAAAGTGCATGGATCATCTAGTCTGTTGTGCCTAGCTACACGATCTTGTCCATGTTATGTAAAGTGCATGGATCATCTAGTCTGTGTTGCCTAGCTACACGATCTAATGCATGTTATGTAAAGTGCATGGATCATCTACTCTGTGTTGCCTAGCTACACGATTTGGTTCATGTTATGAAGAGTGCATTGATTATCTAGTCTGTGTTGCCTACCTACACGATCTGGTGCATGTAAAGTTCAAGGATCATCTAGCCTGTTTTGCCTAGCTACACGATCTGGTTCATGTTATGAAGAGTGCATTGATTATCTAGTCTGTGTTGCCTACCTACACGATCTGGTGCATGTAAAGTTCAAGGATCATCTAGCCTGTTTTGCCAAGCTACACGATCTGGTCCATGTTATGTAAAGTGCATGCATCATCTAGTCTGTGTTGCCAAGCTACACGTTCTTGTCAATGTTATGTAAAGTGCATGGATCATCTAGTCTGTGTTACAATGAATGTTTTGTATAAGTGGCCAAAACGGACGTTTAAATGGTGTCGACAGCATACGCCCCTAGTGATCCATGCTTGTCACCAGGAAGGACTCAATATGGATCGGTGGTCATTTTAACATTATGTTTAAATGGTGCTTGACTTTCCGGCCACTGGGGAAAAGTCTGGTAACCATGGCACATGAACAATGTGAAATACAGTGTCAAGGAAGAGTTGACATTCCATCATCTTTGACTTCGTATTCGGTTTATAGTCTAATATATTTTAACATCCTGATACCTGTTTAAAATATATTACAATTGTATACTGTTCGCGTACACAAAGCTTCGTCCTCCATATTGTACGTTGTATCGACAGTATACGCCCACAGTGACCCATACTTGTCACCAGGACAGACTCAGTAGGGATCGGGTGGCCACAATGGACGTTTAAATGGTGTCGACAGTATACGCCCACAGTGACACATGCTTGTCACCAGGACAGACTCAGTAGGGATCAGGTGGCCACAATGGATGTTTACATGGTGTCGACAGCATGCTCCCACAGTGGTCCATGCTCGTCACCAAGACAGACTCCAATAGGGATCGGGTAGCCACAATTGACGTTTATATGGTGTCGACAGTATACGCCCACAGTGACACATGCTTGTCATCAGACTCAAATACCGATCACATTACCCATCATCTCTGACTTCATGTTAGGTTTGGACGTTGGGGTAGCCCAGAGGTTAAAGCATTCGCTCGTCACGCCGAAAACCTGGGTTCGATTCCCCACATGGATACAATGTAGCAACCCCATTTCTGGGGTCCCTATTGATGGAATATTGTTAAAAGCGGCGTAAAACCATTCTCATTCACTCACTCATATTGGGTTTATAGTAAATATTCAACTATTACATAACCAGCACCTGATTTAACCACAACATGCTCCAGATCACACTATGTGTGCTTGATGTTAAGACAAATCTCGGCGTCCTGGGTCCGAATACTCAAATACACACATACCCCTTAATGCCGAGCGCCAGACAGGGTAACAACAAGTATGCTCCGGGCGATGCTGGACATTTATAGTAATCGCCTTCGTATGTTTTGACATTGAGTGATTCAAGATTCAAGATTCAAAATTCTTTATTCAGTATTTTGGGCCATGTGGCCTAGAGTACAATTACAATTACAATCATTCCTGCGTCACGTGATGTCAGGAAAATAAATACAAGTAGTCTTACTTCACATTTAATACATGATTTAAGTATAAGGCCAAAGCCTTTACAATGTTGATATTTTTGGAGTTGAGTAGATTACATAAACTGTGATAATCATGATGGACATTGGATAACCAAGGCAAATAGTGATTTCTGACAGAAGAATATTTTGAACATATAAACAAAACATGAAAGTCATCCTCTAATTACCCATTGAGTGATTCCTCAGTCAGTGAATTGTGTATTGTCTTGATCTAAATTTTGACCGACGATACGTCACTAGGTAATGATGCTGTATTATTACATCATTATAACTTTTACGGCTATGTCCTGCGGTCTCTGGATAACAGAATTCACCGAGCGCGATGGATTTGATGGATACGTCCATCTTACATCACTATAGCCTGCTATGTGGCTGTCAGTGTTCAGTCTGACACGTAAACGTCTACAAGATTTAATTGCTTGTAGATATACGAAAGGTAATGGAAACTTTAAAAAAAAAAATATTGAGTGCATCTTTCACTGATATAGTAATTCATAAACGCATGTTTATGATATAGTCGGAATCGTACAAGGGGCTCTGCTAGTAGCAGAGATTTCTTATGATTATGGAAATAGGGTAATGTCGCTTGTAGTTGTAGTGTACAAAGAGTCGGAGTGTGGGGCATGTTGGGAAATGATGATACAGGCATGTTTGACCCGTGACAGGAAGGTGATGGATGCAACATTGGAAACAGATAATGAAGAACATCGTATGGCTTCTTGTGTACCGTAAGTAATTGTATTCTATGTTGTTTCAAGCAAACATCCTCAATACTTGTGTTTTACGACACTCTGAGCACTATTATCCCCCGCCACGAAGTGGAATGGGGATATTGGAATGGGTCCCTCCGTCACGGTTCGTTTCCGGAGCAGAACTAAAAAAACCATTAGAGATATCTGAACCAAACTTGGCAAATTGATAGGTCTAGTGGTGAACTGGTGCCTTTTGATAGTTTTGAATTTTTAAAAATATTTTCGAGTTTCTATAGGAACGACTTTGACCTAGACTGAAAATGGCGGTAGTGGTCGTTTCCGGAGCAGATCTTGAAAACCGTACAGTATTTCTTGACTTGCTGACATGTCATGTTTGTGGGGGATATGAGTATTTAATGCATATTTCGGTGACAACACGAGGTGGCACTTTAACATACACGGTGAACACGATGGTGAAGCCTACGAGGCGTGTTGACCACGGCTAATAATCAGCATGAATCTCGGATTTTCACCCACGATCAGCGGATCCTGACACTACTAATGGACGAAACGCGGATCCTCCAGGTGTCTAGCTCAGCAGAATGCACAGAGGCACCCTTCTTGTTTATTAAAACAGTGATATAAAGTCATTTCGATTTAAAAAAAAATACTTGACAGTTACTTTAATAAAAGCTTAATTTAATGTCTTCTATTGTGGCTAGTGAACAAGCTTAATTTACCTGAGTGAGTGAGTATGGTTTTACGCCGCTTTTAGCAATATTCCAGCAATATCACGGCGGGGGACACCAGAAATGGGCCTCACATATTGTACCTATGTCAGGAATCGAACCCGGGTCTTCAGCGTGACGAACGAACACATTAACCACTAGGCTAAATACTGAAAAAAGTTGGCTGTAAATTTGGTGAAATGTGTGTTGGGGTTGGGATCGTGAAGTATGACACTCATGTCTTATTGGTCAGTAAATAAAACTATATACCTTCTATATGTCTCCACCAACACAGCAAGCTGAATATTTTTATTAACTGACCAATGACGATTTTCTATGGACTTTACACAATCGATAAAGATGTAAAATAATTTGTTTGCATTGCTCTAATGAGAGCCATTGTCCATATTCTCCATTATCTATATATTCTTGTGAATTCTGTTCCAAGCTACATGATGTCCAGTGAGAGCCGAGAATCTGGATATGTGGACAACTGGCAGTCAGGGAAGACTGTCACAGAGTGTAATCTGCGCATGCTCAACACGGAAGACTTAAGTGACGTCACCTTCCGTGTAGGATCAGAGAAACAGGTGGTCCGAGCACACCGCTACGTTCTTGTCAGTCGCAGCTGTGTCTTCCATGCCATGTTCTGTGGCCCCCTGGCGGAGACAGGGGAGGTAACAATCCCTGACATTGAGGCAGACATCTTCAAAGAGTTCTTGAGGTTAGATTCATCCACCAGTTACGTATATTAGTCTATTCACCAATGAAAATAACACATTATGTACGTGTACTCTGGTTCTGATGACATGCTAGGAGGCAAAAAAGATATTTTTGAACTATATGGATTCGTACTTTAAGAGTGTCGAGTCAGTATGCCCTACATCAAGTGTGCCCTACGCGGTAGCAGAGTCGATATTTAGCATAGAGGCATATCCCTACATGGACACACAAAACAGATAACCCAACCTGATTATACTATTTTCACTTAAATAAAGATAAACATTAATCACATAATACAAACAAACAACATTTATTTCTTCCCATTCTTATTTCTTAGATATTATTGTAGGTATGTGTACACAGACAAGGCCTCTATCAACGCTGCAACAATCACGGGTCTAATGTACACCTCCAGGAAATATGCCATAGATGCATTGTACAATCTCTGTGTAACGTTCCTTGAAAAGTCCCTGTCAGAAGACAATATCTGTCAGATCCTGGAGCAGTGTCATGGCTATGGGGAGCTGGACTTGGAACAAAAGGCCTTGAAGTTGCTGACTCGAGGAGGCAAGAGAGTCATCCAATCTCACGGGTTTTTGAAGCTTTGCGCTGAGTGTGTGGCTAAGTTTGTGAGGTCAGATAATTTGGATTTTAAAGAGGAAGACATCTTTGAAGCAGTTCTGTCCTGGACAAAAGGAAGATGCAAACAGGAAGGTGTCAATGACACGCCGGAGAACAGACGGGGTTTCCTTGGGGATATAAAGTATGAGATCCGGTTTACCAGCATGCCCATAGAGTATCTGGTGAAGGATGTAGGCCGATCTGGTGTGCTGACAGACAGTGAGAGAATACGAATAATGGACAGAGCAATAGACATAACCGTTGACATATCTCCATTTAAACATTCACAGAGAAAAACCGTAAGTACTATAGAAAGGAAACCGAAGGCATCCTGTAAAAGTGTGTATAGGTTTGTGTCTTATCGCAATTTATTGATACCAGCTGGGTCCAATGCTATCTCTTTCTCGCCTAGCAAGAGCATTTCCCTGCAAGGGTGTCAGTTGTATGGTGGATATGATGATGCTGAGTATAAACTGAATATCACTTTTTATGACCTGGATAAAGTGGTGTTCATTGAACGGTTGGACAGGATGATGCTTCAGGGCAGTAGACAGCTGAATGACGTCCTGTTTTCAAGGCCTTTTCCCCTAACAGCAGGTGCGACCTATACTCTGTGTGAGGACATGGAGGGACCTGACACTGTCTGTGGAGAGGAAGGAAAGGATACAGTAACAGTGGATGGAGTAAAGTTTACATTTAAAGACTGTCTAATGCAACGCTCAATCACATCAACACGTCGAGAACAGATACCTGGTTTGATGTTCAATAACTCGTCATAGGGAGTACTCGTATATCAGGTGTGGCTTGCTGACCACTTTGAAACTGTGGCATAATTTGATATTGTGAAAACCATATTATCTTGGATATGATCACAATGAAAGGTATAATCTCATTAAATGCGGAAGTGATTGCATGATGCAATTGCAGTTTTCCAAGGTGTTCCAAGGTGTTTCAAGGTACGATATTAACTGTTCAATGTAACTACTGCGTGTTTCATGTGCATTGGATTTATGATACATCAATATGCAGGTCCATATTTCTTGATGACTCAGCATGTGATGTGTTCCACCAGCGGGGCAGGATACGCTCTCTATTTCACGAACACCTGATATCATGGATCTGGCAACAGCCGTTGGTGTCAGCATTGCAGAACCTTAACAGTATACAATCGAGCATGCTCTTTCTACGACTATTTTAAAGAACTTCTTATGACTCTTGCTCAGCAGCAGCATTCAAGGCCTTAGTAAAACTTTTATGGTAGAAAAATCATGTGGAGAAAATTTCCAGATTCGACGCGTCAGTGACCAACATGATTTCCAAAAGGCTATTTTGCACTATATGTTCCCTTGTTTGTTCAGGTGAACGCTTGACATGCCCAAATCATGGTTATACCGTCACCACTCCTATTAGCAAGTGGTATGTGCTTCTGAGAGGGGGTTTGTGACGTCATTTCAGCCATTTTGACAAATAAAATATTGAGAGAAGTATCAATGATACATCAATATGCAGGTCCCTATTTCTTGACGACTCAGCATGTGATGTGTTCCACCAGTGGGGCAGGATACGCTCTCTATTTCACGAACACCTGGTATCAGCACTATTTAATTTTCTCACACGATCAGCGGATCCTGATTCTACAAATATCGATGACATAATGACCTACAACTGGTACACAACTGCTCTGACGTGTGTTCACAACTCCTCACATCTCATTTGATAGATAACAGTTTTCGACTGTCACGTTGTGACTTTTGTGGTTTAGTGGGTACTGATAGCCAACAAATACAAAACGAAGAAGCTATTGTGTGGTAGGCCACTAATACAAAGCCGGACAGTCACGATTGGCCACCCTACACCATCGGCAGTTTATTGGTTATGAATAACGAACATTTCAGGCTGAGCTTTGACACACTGATGAAAGTGAGAGCACAACATTGGGATTCAAACCTTCTGAAACCGTCTAAAACCTTTCTTTGAAATTCTCAGTCTTCAAGAAACAAGGCCCTGGATATCACAGACTGTATCACTCATAATGGTCTCGATATTTTGTTCATGAAAGATGAAAACCTAAATAGCAGCAAATAAAGTTAAACTCCCTGAAGCACATACCACGGACTTATAGCAATGGTGGTGGCATAACAATGATTTACAGGATCTAATCTCTGTAAGACAAGAAGTTTGTTAAATGATGAATTTAATCATCTCTGTCTCAAACTTGTCCTTGAGGTCTGTACAGTCGTCTGGCATCGAAAAGGAAGACTTTTTTACCCAGTTTTACAATGAACTAACGGTTCTCCCCGACAAACTCCCCCAGGGGAAAAAATAGAACCGTTGGTGATTTCAATGAACATTATGATACGATTGGAAAGAGGTGAAGAAATTGATAAAACTCATTGACCCAGTGGGGTTAATCCAACACGTGAATGAATCCACACAAAAGTCTGGACATTTTTAAATGTGCATTGACGAGATATGACAGTAATGTTGTAGAAGACAATGATCACCATATCTTGAAAATGGCATTCTCGATGTCAAAACAAACAAATCATTTATGCCAAGACATCAAAAACATTGATACTGTGTAATTCACCAAGAGATGTGGATGTTCTATGTCGTTGTATGAAAACACCTTGATAGAACTCTTGGATAAACATGCGCCGACTGTAACAAAACAAGCCTTAGAGGCCAAATGTTCTCCAATACCCAACCGTTACACAGAATCATAAGTCGTATACTCGTGTGTGCATGGAGCCAAGTGTGAAAGGTATATTTAGGTTTGAACGCGAGAATGAAAGGTGAGAGCAAGCGGATACATTGTACACTGTCTAAGCCTGTGTTGTGCGATTGTGAGGCAGAAAGTCCTTGTCAATGCAAGGGTATATAAAGAGTTCGCCCCTCAAATCAGTGTTGGTCGTGCACTCGAGGGTGAGAACGCCAGACCACCATTAAATGTTGGGCCAAGATCGGGCGTAAGTAGTTCATATTTAATCTTATTCATGTATAATAGGATTGTTTAGTTTATTAATATGTTCCATGGATAGTAAATTATTAAACTTTGTTGTTAAGTATAGTGCATAGTGTAAATGTAAATAAAGAGTAAAATGGTAACAAAGTGTTTTTGTATTTTTGTGGTAGTAATTGAGTATCCAAACCCACATATGTATATACCGAATATTTATTCATATTCTGAATATTGTGAGTAGTAGTGTTGGACATGATACCCAGCCACTCGGGTACCGTCCTTTCAGTGTAAATGTCATGCAGGCGTGACCTTTAGTCCTACCCTGGGAACAAGATGATACACACCAAGACATGTTGCGGGAGACCGTCTGATGGATGACAGACATGAGCTACCAAGACGTTACTGCGTCCAGTATAGATGTGACTCCTAAGTGTTGTATAAGAGTGCAGTGAGTAAATGCAGTATTCACTGGTGCTGTATCTCCACATCCTTTAATATGAACTATTGTCATCAGAGACAATACCAAGGTCACTCTAACTTGCCCGTTGTTTGTCGTTGAAGACAATTTACAAATGACTATCTCTTGTCATCAACATTCATACTGTGTCATGATAGACCAGAATGATATTTTGTCTTTGGACAATTCCCTTATACATGTCTGTGTAGACATTTGATTTGTTTTTGATGATGATATTTTGATGTGACATGTGATATCTTTTATACCTGAACCTTTTTGATTGTATCGTGTGTGTATATTTACTAGGTTAATATTAGTATTAGTCAGTATTAGTATTAGTTTAGTATTATACTATTAGTATTAGTAGTAATATTGTCAGATAATTGGTTAGAAATTATGTAAATATTTTTGTTTTCTCTTACATAATAATAAATTATATTATTTTATTTGCTCTGAGGGTTCTTGTGTGACAAACATATTTAACAGCGGAAAACGCTGTGCGACACACAACACAACATAAAAAAATGCCCAGTCTCCCCATGAACACAACTGTTATCACCTAACACAAATACCGCCATACACTTAACTGTTGCACGACAACTCAAACCAGAGGCAAAGCTTTTTGGCAAGAAAGTGATGGAACCGTGTTCCCTCAACGAATGCAACAGCCATGACCCCGGAAGATTTACATTATTAATACACATCAAGATGAAAAATTATCACAATACGCACCAATTGCAAGTATTATAACGGTTCTTCACGCTGAACCAACAGCGACTAGAAGTTGCAACCAGTCAAATCAGTGATAGCAACATATCAATACCTATGCCACATTGCCCACCTTTGCCAAGCAAAAAACCACAGTTATATTCTTTGGTGGGAGCCAATCAGCGAACTCACAAACATTCACACAGACATAATGCAGGTCGTCTTGGTACACATTCTGAAACAAATCTGTAAAACAGAACAACTCATCAACTAAACTCTATCAAAAGACCAAGAATATCAAAATGCAAATCATTCTCACCCAGACCACTTTTAAGCCTACAGGCTGGATGAGCCTCTTTTGGCCTTGACAAAACAGTATTAAACTTAAGGAACAAACACACATTTATCACAAGGTAATGGCCAAAAACAAGTTGAGTGCCAGTCTGGAACAACCAACGTCCCCACATCATGACACTGTGAAAAATGTTTGATAGTTGTAGGTATCAAACACACAGGGGATACAATCCAATTCATTGTCCCTTTCCAACAAACAATAACTACTGCCTGACATCCCGGATGCTGAAACGCGAATTAAAGCCGCAAGTTTGGTGTTTCATGCTACCTTTTACTAATTTAAACACGGCATTTTGATTGTCCGTAAGCCATTTCACCCGTTGGTGATCATGGGTTGCAGCAAGACAATGTGGTACCATATGTACCACATTCAGCTCTCTCCGAGTCGAACTCGAGCTATTTCCCCCTTTTTGACCACTGTCCATGAGAAGCTACACAGCCCACGTCTACACAATAACCTGCATAGCCACTGTCACTGGCATTGGAATTAACTACTTTCTTGGTACATGCTGTCTGAACAAATGATCTAGAAGTAAACTGCTTTACATTGTCTGACCAGAACTCATATCTGACAACACGATCTTCCTGTACCATGTAACTGACATACTGATGTCCATACTTAAGGATCTTATCATTAGTAGAGTGGGCACGGGTGGCCCAGAGGTCTGAGGCGCCGCGATTCACTGTTCAGAGCTGCGTCCCTTGGGCACGCAAGAAACCTATGATTGTGGGTTCGACTCCCGGTTCGCCCCGATTATGTTTCTAGGTTTCTCAGCACCATACCCGTGCTCGTGGGTTTCACCAAAGTGGTAAACGTCTGAGACTTGCATCACTTTGGGCTTCCTCCCACATTAAGCTGACACGCCGGAATACTGTTAAAAAGCGGCGTTAAACCCAACTCACTCACTCTTATCATTTGTTGTATTTTAGACCCCAGCACTAATTTCATGGAAATTTACTGACCAACAACAGAAACCACATACTTAGTATCTAACAGGTATGTGCATATAATTGGAATCAAACAGGTGAAGTGTGGCTTCTTCAACCTTATCCACCTTTCTTGTAGGTACAGTAACTGTCATGGGGGTTGTGTCCACTAGCCACTTCAATACCTGTGACGAAGTCAATAGTGACTTTTCTACCATTGGAACAAAACCAGAAAATAACAGAACCTGATGAACATGTCTCATCTTTTGAAGCTCCAGCCAAAATACGGTCTTCCAAGAAAGTAACTATCCCAAGTAACTAGCCTTCAGATTAATTTCTTTCATAACAATACAATTTTGACGTCACCAATCTTCCAATTGATCGCTCTGTTCCAGGACTCAACCATCAATCATCTCTTCATGGAAATTAAATGGAATTGTGTTCCCCTCGCGGAAACAAACATAGTCCTTTTCAGGTTTTAATTTCTTAATATCCAAAGAAGTTTGAATGAACTCTTTTCTCAAAGCACCAATTTTAGAATTGTGTGATGATTCAAATTGCTCTTTATGTCAATCGAGCTTATTCAAAATGACGTCGATTATAGCGTCTGTATCCATTGCAACACCAACTTGCCGTGCTTACTCATAAAGCGAGAGAGAAGAATTCAAATTCACCTTCCTTTTATATGCCCTCCACAACGCCACCTGATTGGGCACACAGTCCCTTGAATACAGTTGAACACCTCTGGGA